CTTTTAACTGAACAAATACATGCCATGATTCCATTCAAATATATAACAACCACTTCTATTTTCAAAATCTTTTCATCACCTGCACTAAAACCCTAAAAATTAAGCAATCACATTTCAGTACCTGCTAGCCCCAGGTACCTTGAATCTATTGCCTGTCTCCATTAATTTGCCTATTTCATATGAAATTATACAACCGCATACTAGTTTGCTTCTTGTTTAATCATGTTTTCTGGGTTACTCAGGTTGTAATGTGCATCAGAACTTTATTTTTCATGGCTGATTAATAATCCAACATATTTGTGAGCCATGTTTATTTATGTGTTCCTCTGTTGATGGACACGGGGTTGTTTCCACACCTGCCTGTTGTGAAGAATGGTGTGGCGAGCCTTAGCCTGGGGGAGCTATTGTAGTCCCTGTTTCCCATCCCGTGGGCATGTGCCCAGCCGTGGGAGTGCTGGGTACATGGGCTTCTGCCTGGCTCTGGCAGGAAGTGCCCAAGTGCTCTCCACTGTGACTGCAGCTCTTCAGAGTCCCTGGAGAATGCAGGAAGGTGTGGGGTGAGGTGTCATTGTGATTTAGATTTGGTTCCTTAGTGACTGATGACACTGAGCATCTTGTCACGTGCTTATTGGCCACTGGAACATCTCTGGTGACAGGCCTTCCAAGCCTTTGCCCTCCCCCTTCTCTTTCACTGCTGGGATTGATCTGAGGGCGCTGTACCTCTGAGCTACACCCCAGCCTTTACATGTATTTATTTATTTTTGTTTTGGGACAGTTGCCCAGGCTGGCTGCAAACTTGGGACTCTCGTGTCTTGGATGCCTGGGGTTACAGACGCCCAGGACTGTGCCCAGCTCCTTGACCCCCTTTAAACATAGGTTATTCTTTGGTTGCACGTTTGTACCTGTTCTTTATTTATTCTACCATGAAACCATCATATCACATGTATGATTTGCAAATATTTTCTTGCATTCTTTCACTTCAATTTCTTTGTTTTTAAACTCATTCACTCATTACTTTATTAGTAATTTTGTTAAAAGCCTATGGATCAATATTCATTTACAAAAACCTGTTCAGTCTTTTATGGTAAATACTTTTAGGTTTTAAATATTAAATTCATTGTCACATCTGAAAGTCTTTACAAGTGAGGATCCCTTGCCCTCTGCCTCCTGCTTGCTGGGAGGTGCTGTTGAGGTGGGTCTGTTCAGGATTCTTCTCCCCCTGCTCGGCCTCTCCCTCTCTTTCTTCCAGAAGCAGAGGATTTTGTGTCCTGGGCATTTTTCTTTCTCTCCCAACAGCTCAGAGGACTGGGGCAGCTTATCTTCCTGCCGTTGTTCTTCTCTGTGCAGAGTTTCTGCTAAACCTGCTCTTCTTGGAGTTGCTGCTACTCTGTCCCTCGAGCACGTGGACAAGCTGGTCACGGTCATAAAGCAGTTGTGTTGGCAGAGTTTGTGCAAAACCTTTAGAGTTCTGAATACTAAGCCTGAGAGGAGCGCCAGCTGCTTTCCTTACTTTCACAGATTCTGATCCCACGTTACCACCAAATCATGATGAGGATTTCCCTGTCCAAACACGAGAGTGGACATTCTGATGTACTCGCGACATTCTCGGAATGGGGACAATTTCAGACTTGGTCTTCCTGTACCATTAGTTTTGTTCCATGGAAGTCCTTCCCAGTGTCTCTCCTCTGGCACACATTTGGGAGTACCAGCTGCATTTCCCCCATGATGCAGTGGGGCAGCTGCTCTCACAGCTGGCTGTGGCCCCACAGAGCCCTTGGTGCTTGGGTGGAACCAGGCAGTGCCCAACAGACCTGAGCATAGGTGGCTGCTTTCCAATGGGGGTTCAGCTTCCAGAAGTTCCCAGGACCTGTGAGCAGAGGCAGAGGCAGAGAAGGCAGGACTCCAGGGAGAAATGGAATTGTCAAAAATTTAAAAAATGAAAGAGTGTGAAACCCTTCATGTCCAGTCCCTCAGCTACCAGTCAGGGCCCCTATAGACATGGGGATATCCCAGGCTCATGGACATCCCTGGAGAGTGACCAGCTGTAGCAGGAACAGTCTTTGGCCCTGGAGATGGGTAGGAGCTGCCTTTAGTAACATAACAAATTAAAAGCGGAAGAGCATAGTCATTTCCACCAGAACACAATGCTGTAGATGGTGCATGAACAG